GAACTCCTTTGGTGATTGTTCAGGGCAACTTAACTGGTGTGGGCTACAGGGATCAGATTCTTCGACCTGTGGCAATTCCTTTTCTGCAACGTCATGGCCCTGGGTTAACATTCCAACAGGACAATGCCCGCCCTCATACGGCAAAGGTTGCTATGGATTTCTTGCAACACCACAGCGTTGACTTACTGCCTTGGCCTGCAAATTCACCGGATCTCTCCTCGATAGAGCATGCTTGGGACGAGATGGATCGACGTCTACGCCGTCTTCCTCATCCGCCAGATAACGTCCTTGACCTTGCAACAGAACTTGAGAGAATCTGGTGTGACATCCCACAAGCCTTCCTTGCACGTTTGATAGGTTCTATGCGTCGTCGATGCACTGCTGTTCTCAATGCCGATGGTGGACATACCCGTTATTGAGCTTGTGACATGGTCGTTTGACCCCTGTCCCGCTTGTGGACTCGTGACGTCATTGTGATTGACTTTTCAATTGAAATTCTCCCGACTTGTTATGGTCTCATGATCCGTCCATTAAAGTTTATATGTACCTTTGACATTGTTATCGTACTTATCAACTGGGATAATATTTTGACAATGCACAGTTTCTTTATGTGGCTAGTGTACTTTGCCGGGTTTACCTCCGCAAATGTATGCGAAAAAAAGAGTTTTGAAAACATTTACGCCTAATTTCTGGTGGATCTGATAGAGATGAGAATAAATGGTTACATTTTGGAAGAATTACTTATTTTAGAACGGTATTTCTCCAAAAGATTGTTTAGTTTTTTAGGCCCAAGTGTACGTGAATGTTTGACATTGTCATAATTCAAGCAAGAATGAGATCAGTACTGAATTTATTGTCAAGTAGTTCCCAACGGATATTGCCTCTAATCCAAGTTCCATTACTGGCACAGTTTAATTCTTATGCCTTTGTTTGTCATGACCAGAGTATGCATGCCTCATCTTGGTTTAATTTGAAACGAAAAGACTAAGCATGAAAATTTAGCACCTGTAGTACAGCGTAGAGGCATCGTTCGGAAGGGACTAGAGAATCAGTTGTATCTTGTAAAATTATGAACAGTGCTACCAATCTTAATATTTTAGGTTGAGTATTATCACTAGTATTACAGCACATAGTATAAAGATATAGGGACATAAGGGATCACCTTGTCTACACCCCCTAAATATTTTGACAAAGGGGATTCAACGACACCTACCATTACACATGAATTTCATTGTAAGACGTGTTGTCCATTTCCTAATTCAAATTCCAAAACCAGTTTAGTGTTTCGCCTATAAATCCCCAATCACATGCATCAAAAGACTTATTACTTAAAGGTAATATTAAACCTGGTATCTTGTGTAGTCAATACGAACCCGGAGAAGATGACGCTTGTCACATTATGAGACTTCATTAAATGTACCAGTGGTGTTTCGTGTTCAAGTTTTGGGTTTCTTGTATACACTTTGATGGCCACTGACCACCGGGTTGCATCACATTACTGGAGGTTAAGCGTTAAGTATAAGCCATGGGGTCAGTCCCATATCGGTGTGGGATCATTTCTAGTTCATATCTTGCACATGTCTGTTCAATAAGAAATGCAATGATGTGATATATGCGTACATGCAATGCTATTTTCCATCTTCCCGTTACCCGTTATCTACAATGTACTGCCAATCTTCCAATTATCCAGAAAATTAACCAGTGTGCCCCATCCAGTAAACCAGTGTTTAGAACTTCAATTTCAATATTCATCTGGTACCCACCACCCAGTGCTCCGGATGTTCAGTTCACCAAAATCTATATTCACCGGTAGATATCCATTAACCAATACCCACAGCCCATTGGCAACAATCTGAAATTCATTTTCAAATATTCACCTTCTACCTTTTACCACCAACTATCTATCACATATACCTTACCCTATGTCTCATTATCAGTTATTCACCATCCACTTAACACAATCAACTCACATCCTCCTCCAAGCTTCTCATGTGCACCATTGCGCTAGAACCATTGCGTTTTAGATTTGAATTACTTTACGCACGTAAAAGCGATATTTGGCGGAATATGCAAATACTTTCAAAGTCTCAAGCAAAACAATCGCACATTATCGATTTTAAAACTCCAAAGTTTTGTTGTGGAAGCTATCAATCATATGTACAAGTTCGAGGACAATGGACGAGCTGAACGCTGAAACACCAAGTTACAATTACACAATTGATTATTTGTTTTAACTATAGCCTTACATGTGACTGGTAGTCTTTGACGTAAAATAAAGTTGTTCAATGGCGAATAGTATTTGTTCTGAGCCCTGAACATTACTGGTTACACGATGATGCGGTTACAAGAAGATCCTGTTACATCATATATCACACATATAACATTTTGATTCCTGCAAAAGCATTGGTTCCGGTAATGTTGATAAATAAATAACCATTACTTTGATGTAATGAAAGAGTGCAGCTCGTTTATATTCATTCATGTTCATTACATATAACTCTGGTATAGAAACTGAAGATTATCCCTTTTCAAAACATCAGTGCCTCCTCATCTGAATTCAGTCAGTGTGATTCATTGTACAGTAATAATTCATGTGATACGGCAATCAATGTTAACTATGAAACAAGTGTCATACCACGCTTATGCGCCCGTGACTTTCACTAACTCATGTTACTCGCTTAATCGCCGGTGGTTAATCGCACTGATGGAGATTGCTAAGATCACTCAATAAACGTTCTGGCTTGGTTCATTGCCATCTTCAACGGTTCTGTTCAACCTGAAAGCAAAGACCATCTTAAGTTAACTATGAAAATAATATGTGAAATGATTGACTTCATAAACAGCATCTGTGTGAACATTTGTGATATTTGTGAAAACGTGTGCATATCCCCATGGAAACAAATTGTACTCTCTCCCTTAAAAGCTTCTACGAATAGGAAAACCCTTCAGTTCAGTGGTCAAACTGCCAAGTCCTTTCAGTTTTCCCCACCTGAACTGGAAACGAAAGAGACGGGTGGCGCAGTCTAACCTATGTCATATTTATAGATACCACTACTCAAATACTATGAGCATGAGGTATGACTTGTCAAAGGTGCTGCAATTTAAGTTGCGTTTTCGTGGGCACTGCAACCACTTTGATCATGGATTCTAAATGCAGCTCACTACCGTCATGTTCATGTGTATTCACTTGAGTAATTGACGTGCCTTTGCATTGGTTTGTAACGGGTTCCATTGGTGGTGCAGGACAATTCATCCTTTTTAAACTCCTGGAGTAGTCTTTTGAAAACATCCATAATTTCATGTTCGGGATGAAGTCGAAAACGTTCAACGGACTCTTGAGAGATTTCTAATGATTATGAAAAGTGCTCAGCCGCTTCTATTTACGCAAGTAAATATGGATTTTTCGTCTGCTTGATGTGACACAAAGATTATCAGTTCCTTGTGCAGCATTCGTTAATCAATGATATATGCAGATGTAGTGATGGACTAAGGACGTCTTCAGTTTTATCAAGTTATTACGTATAGGCTATATTATTATTATATTGCATTCCCATCGTCTCAACAATTCTTAGTTTAGTTGTTCGGTATGGCATATTAAATACACCAGAAACGATTACAACCGAACGGGATCTATGAAGGATTTATAAGGCATTTGCAAATATGTTTACATAAGATGTTTTTAGAAAATGGATGTTAATTTTCAAAATCAAAACTTATTGTACCAAGACAAGGACCCAAAATTAATGTTAGACGGTACTCCTATTAAAGCAGCCAAGTTCTTATGACTCCATCGTCTATGGTGCAGCCTGCAAAGGCAATCTTAACTTTCCAGATCCTTTCCACCATCAAGGTCTCAGGCTTTGTCTTGGATCTTTTCGAACTTCTCCTCTTCTTAGTCTTTACGTCGAGATCGATGAGCCATATTTAAAACATCGCCGTATCAAATTCAGTATATCACAAAACTATATTCTAAGGAGTCCAACCCTTCTTACAACTCTGTGTTTAATCCTCTTTATGATGATCTGTACAATAAGACATCGATCTTATTCCGCCCCAAAGGAATAATCTTTAATTTCGGCTGCTAACATTGAGCTCTCCGCCTGCTTTCTTCATCTCTTTGGCCGTAATACCATAGGTGTTTTTACATTACATTAATAAAACTTAAGAAATCTGACACAAACCAAACAAATGATCTTTAAACAATAATAGTTATGATACTTACATAAGTGTCTTCACAGATGGACCCAAAGTAGTTGCTATTGCCGCTATCATTGGATCCTAATAATGTCCTGCTTTACTGTGTTGACCTTGCCATCACAAAGCATAAGTATTTCAACACTTCATCCTTGACGGATCTTTTTAATCGTGTTGTTTAGCAAAAGCTCTGTAAGTCCCCAATGGTCTCTTTGGTGATATTATAGCCCATTTCTATATTGCATTTTGGTGTACAGAAATATCGCTTTATGGTTACATGCTACTTTAAAGAGTTTATATGTTATTTTACTGTCCATTGTCGACAAGTGTCTAAGTTTGTCATAGCCACCATATGGCTGAAATATTGCCCTATGACTTTTTAATTTTAACTCGCTCAGTAACGCTAAGCACGTTTACTACACTTTGTGTAACCTGTCTTTACGGAGCGTATGTATGGTATGCACAGCAATTCTGCGTTTGCCTCAATATTTTTCGGTGCTTTTAGCAATGGTTCAGGATATTGACGGCAATCGGTATGAAGTCAAGAGGCAAAACAAAGGTCAAAGATTTTCATATGTTATTGAAAATTGATTTTTCTCAGAACGTATGAAAGCTGTTGTTGTAGGTATTTTAACACAGAACCAGTATGCTGATTTCATTACAATATTAAATGGCTCGTTATATGAACACAAAGGATATTGGTTACTGAACTAATACTGGATACAAATAACGGTTGCTGCAAGCAACGTCCAGATCTCATATCAAAGATAAAGAAAAGAAGTGATTGTATCAACTATAAACATACATTCTATACATGGATTTGTTTTATTCAGTTCACCAAATGAGCATAATCATCTTAAGTGTAAGAAGCTTGATGGAATCATTAACATACAAAGAATAAATATCAAGATCGTTCATCTAGGTGTCTCTCTCTCAAGTTACAAGGCTTCAGCGGGCACGTTTAATATTTATCGATACAAGTGGCACAATTTATGAAAACAAAATAACGCAGCTAGCAACGCAAACTGAACAAAAGGCCGTTATGGTATCAATGTCCATGCACACATAAGGTCACACATATGTCTCCTGTGCATTTGTCTGCGTCTTATCTTCAACGTCTTTTGAATTGTTCCTAATCACATGGGTACTTCCGTTTCGCATGCTCCGGCGTGTGTCCTTTGGAACAAGGTCCGGTCGGCATGCGCAGAATATCCTCAAGAAGGTGTTGCGGAACACAATACTCAGTGCACAGTACAAAACAAAGTTAAACGCGGAGTTGACGGCAAGCAGGGAGTCTGTAATCTCGCGGATGCCCTTCACCAGATTCCCTTCCTCGACGTAGCCTTTGCCAAAGAACGTCGACATCACGGCGTCGGGTGTGATGCAGATGACGAAGACGAGGATAATTATGATAAGCATCAGAGTGATACGGTTCCTTGATGACAGACGCTTACCCTTCACCCGTTCTTTACGCAACTCGTTGATAATACGAGCGTTAAGGTAAATCAGAACGAATAGAGGGATAATAGCTCTAAGAGCGTTTTGGATCCACGTGTAGGGTACCATGAAGGCTTCATTGTTGCCAAGGTCTGTCGGGATAATCGCACTGCATGTAATATTGTTCTTGTCGTCATGAAAAGTTTCTACCTTATATCTGAACAGTGACGGCAGAGAGAGGAGGATCATGATAATGAATACTATAGCGCACACCAATCGAGCGCGGGAAATAGTGCATAGCTGTTTCGCACGGGAAGGGTGACACACGGAGATGTAGCGTTCCAATGCAACAGAAACAGTTAGCCAGGCTGTGATGCACACAGCCATGTTAAATATGTAATGGGCGAATGGATACAGGGTGATTTTCATCTTCTCCGAAAGTTCTGCATCGTTAAGAAATAGTACGACCATTACAAAGTACAAAAGGTCATTGAAGAGTTTGATTGTATCTGAAACCGCCAAGGCTGATAAATACACATTTGTTGACGTCGCCATGTCTCTGTGGCTCAACACAATCAGAGCCAGAACATTTCCAGTGATGCCTATGATACACAGTATGGGATATATAATCAAGCCAGTGACGTACTGCGCACGACGATAAAACCCTTCGTAGTCCAAGGTTTCATTTGCCAAACAGGATCGATTGTCAACCGCCACATGATACCCAGCATCCGGAGACGTCAGGTTCATAATCAGTGCTATGACAGGTTGGGGTTCTTTCCCATAGTGGTGGGTCTTTTCTCCCAGTAACTCCATGTTTCTTCAGTTTTCGCAATCAAAGTTGTCTTTACCACATCTCATGGCTGGATACTCCTGCAAATAAAGAACACACTTTTAAACCTTCATTCAATGTAAATACTACTAACTGACATTTATGTAGAAAGGTAAGAAGGAATGATTTGATTGAAACTCAATTATTAACACATAAGTGACAAACGTGTGTCAAAACAATAATGCAAATAATAGTAATAGTTTTTCTAATGAATTGCTGGATGTTAACCCAGTATACCCACGAGGCCACTGAAATGGCACCGACCCGAGCCATGTGATGTTTGCAAAGAAAGGATTGTAACCAACTGGGTTAGAAAACATGATGACCATGAGAAACCGAGAGGGCTGATCAGAACTTTTCACAAATAAGCTAAATGAGCTCTTCTGTTTTTCAAACATCTCCGAGTTTACTTTCAGTCCAATTTCCTTTGGTTTGAGGATCTTTTGCTTTGTTTTCTTCTTTTGCCTCTATCTAACCAATTACAGAATCGATTGCTACGTTATTCAGGAGGGAGTTTGATGTGTTTGACCTGAACGTCATCTCGAATAATCACAAATAATTCAAAATGCCAGAACTTTTCCAACAACTCATTCCTCGAGAGCGACATGACCTCAACAAGATTCCTTTGGATGTAAGAACATATCATAAGCGACATATGACTGACCCTCGTTAGTGATTTGCTTATTATGAATTCAAGTCATTTGAAAGGTTCGTTTAATTACGATGATTGTTACAGAGAAGGGAACAAAGAGTTAGTTCCTTAGCAGACAAACCATTAAATGGCCTGTGTTCCACAAAGTAAAGTCGAAGATCTGCAATATTTAAACATATTTCCAGTACAGGCATTGTGGGTACTTTCTTGGGTGACTTGAGATGTTCCTGGATATTTGTTTGATTAAGACATACATTGTTGCCTGAAAGGAAAAGTAAGACAAACTGTTTAGAACATCCAACATATTACTTTCAGCAGATATAGCATTCCAAGAAAAGGATTACGTTTCTTGTGAAACCTGGCATAAATTATCCTTCTTCAGTATTTTCTTCAGATTTGTTTCTTCAGAATATTTAATGAAAGAATTCTGCTGTTACTAATCTTCTAACATACACTGAAATGGCCCCTCTTCCGATTGCAGAATATACCTCAAAAGCTTTTTGTCACAAGCCTTGTTTTCAAGTTGATTAATCTATTCAAAATAATATTGTCGTGTCTAAAGAATACGCTAAATCGGTGGATACTGTCACACTTGGGAGATATGGTGTCCAGCCGGCGCAATAAAATGGAATTTAGTGGAGATCCTGTAATTGCATTCATGCATAATACAACGATAACTTTCTTGCACAAGCATACACATGGGATTTTTTCAGATAATACTGAGTACAGATGCTAATGGGTACGCGACCTGACTCAGAAGAGCTTCCTCTCAGGTTACAAGTATATTTCTTTAACTTTCGGTTGTATTTTTCTTGCTGTGTTACTATATTAATGCAGACCAGGATGTTTTAATATTTGTGTGATGATGTCTTGTTAGTGGAGAAGTTGCATGTTATGTTAGTGAGGTCTCATTAATGAGGTGTCATGTTAGTCAGGAGGTGTCATGTTGGAGGGGTCTTGTTAGTGTTGAAATAAAATGTTGATGACGACAGACCATGGTTCGAAGTTCAGCTGATACATTGGTTCACAATCATCATTCATATACAACAATAGAGCATTCCATGGCGTGGTGTTAGTTAAGTGTTTTGTTCGTAACAGTAGAAGCGACAAAACCCTTTCCACATTCATAAGAAATCTGGGGCGGTGGGGTAGCCTAGTGGTTAAAGCGTTGGTTTGTCACGCCGAAGACCCGGGTTCGATTCCCCATATTGGCACAATGTGTTAAGCCCATTTCTGGTGTCCCCCGCTGTGATATTGCTGGAATATTGCTAAAAGCGGCGTAAAACCAAACTCAGTCAGTCAGTCATAAGAAATCTCTGCCAAAAGCAGAGTCGATTGTACAGTAGTGACTATACCATGAGCAGATATTTGTTCCAGCAGTATTACAGTTTTATGATGTTGTTTGTACATAAATCGGGTCTGAACCAGACAATCCAGTGATTGTCATCATGCGATACGATGACAGATGTTACGAACAATAAACGTAATGACCTTAATGCTTAGTAGTTATCGGCATATTGTTTTTTGATACCGATCATGTTTCCCAATGCTGTTTTTCAGCAGGTAAAAGCATCAGTGGTCAAGGCGAGACTGGTTCACTGACCGACTCTAACCAACTACAACCCATAAGGCCACACTAGTCAGATATGTATCAAATTAGGTCCTAACATGATTTAAACTGCGGTATTAATTCATCACCAAATGGTTCATAGTCGCAAAAGCAGAACGTCGAATGGATGGGAGTGAATCTAATGCTGCCCAACCCTCCTTGGTGCACGTGGAATATTTGTCTTGCCCTTCCAGCGTATTCCAGTGTGCTCCAAGTTTCAAAGTTCAACAACCCTGTGTCGGATCGACATCTGTGTGGGTCTGTGAATGGTTGGCTGAGAAAGGGGTTACAGTGAGTATCGTGACAAAGACAAAGATGCAGGCCATAGAACATGAAGATTCTTAAATGTGACACACACCTCCTTTGATAGATCCTGATAGAACCCGTGCTGCACATGCCCTTTTCAATCACCATCCATCATTCGAGCAAATTTGTTTGGCGACATTATTCAAACACCACAGAAATCATTATAATGCATATACCATGCAGAAACATTGTGGAAACTAATACTGCACACAAACCTTCAGTGTTATGTGTATATGTTAGAGTAGGACTGTCAAGCAACATATTTCATATAAGTGCAACTACAATGATACCAAGTTTTGGAAGAAAGATCGCTGCAAGTGCTCCTAGGCAAAAATAAAGTTTAATTCTGGATGCCAATATACTATCTTTGCAATAAATAGACATCATGTATTCTGTGCCGGTATCTGTGCACAGACAGGTTGACATGAGATTACTGACGAGTAACACCTTCAGCTGTTGCATTGAGTACTGTAACACATTTTGTATTCTGTGCAAGGAGATGTTGACAGAGGTTGATTCGTGTAGAATAAGGAATTTGACTTACATATGTTTTTCACATCCATGGTGTATTCAATCATGGTAGTGTATGGAATTATCTGCGGTAATGCGGTAATTGAACATGTCCGAGTAAAGGACGTTTTAGTGGATGGCAAAGTTTTAATTCGATTATGACATGACGGTTTGGTATAGATCCTTATCACGGTGTCAAACGAGAATGAAGCAATACAGCAGAGTACATAGGAACATATCGCAAATTATGAAGCATGTGGATCTGATAGTAGTCATCAGATAGATAAACGTGATGCAGGTAGGGGCTAGTGTCATGATGGAATTTTTGGAGATGCAGAAGCAAGAATATCATAATAACTTGATGAGACTGTATAAAACATTGGGTCAAGGACATCAAGCTGTTGTTTAAATATCTATATTATCAGTAAAAATGTATGTCTCATCCATATATAATAACGCTGCTGCGGTTTTTTATTAAAAATATATGGATTTCCATTGAATTAAAGAACCTGAGACTTTAACAGCAGTTTTGTGATATTTCAGATTTGGTAGTTATTCTTTGAATGGGGATTTCCAAATGAGGCTTAATATAACGTACGCATTTTGAGCGTGTGATCCTTAATGTCATACGGGACATTAGCAGGAGTTCACGACCAATAGCTCCTTCAGTCCGTCTCTAAATAAACTGTTTTTACTGAATGTCGAATTATCATTATTTCACAATTATGTAAACGTCTTTTTCTATCACAGATCGTGATTCATAATAGTTATATCTATTGCATGTCTCCGCACAACGGTTGTGGTTCTACAGTAACAGTTTCGGCTGAGAGAAGACTAATGGGTGGTATTGCGCCATTATGTAACTAAAAAATGTCATCCAGTAGCTACAGAACAAACATATGGTTGTCAAAAAAGGGATACATGCGAACAATGCCTTAAATCAAAGATACTAAAAATTATATGCAATGGATTCCTTTTGATGTTGGTCTCTGAAATGCAACGCCATCCGAATAAGGAAAAATAACAGCCTATTTGTTTCCTCTTTTACTCTGAAAGTGAAGGCATAGAAAGATATTCCATCTGAAGAAACTACAGTACCAACCCTACATCAGTTCAGAATGTACAGTTATGGACGTAATATGTAACACTCAAGATGCACGTCACATTAGGTTTCCGTATATAGTTCAGCTATCCTAGTTTTAGTATGATACAGGTATGTAGTGTCACTCGTACTTTTCCTGTGCCATTTGCCTGGGATGACAACGTCCAGGTTTTCAGCCTATGCTCTTTTTAGTATTTATCGTAAAATATTTGTATGGTGCACATTATGTTGGTAAATGGTAAAACCAGGGTCAACAAGGTTTCAGCTTGGTAAGGAGCGTAGTAACTACTAGAGCGTCTTTTGGTATCAAATATATCAGCTCAGGTATAGTTAATAGCAGAAGGACACGCCTCCATGAGGATCGCTTCTCCGTTGAAACCAAAGGTATTTTGATCTGGTGATGCATAGATATCGTACAGATTATACCTGCTGATGTACCAAAAATGTATTTATCAGTACATCTTCGTCATATGGACTCCGCCGATAACTGGACATAATATCATATAACAAGTTAATCTATACGACCTGAACAAGATTTAAAGGATTTGCTGTCGTGGTCGGCCAGACAGAGCTGTATTATATCATGATTTGTCAGTCTGGATAGGTTCCGACACATGAGAAGGCTCCGGGACTAGAGAATGTGTCGACGTTATCTGTATTACTTGAGACTAGTTTCTTTCATCGAGTCCTTTCATTGGGTAAACGTCCCTACTCCGTATGCAAGTTATATCTCACTCTACTGATAGCCGAGTCGTTGGCATCGTATAAGATGTTGTTAGCCGATTGGGTAGGTGGAATGGTGGTGGAAAGGCTCAATGGCGGATTAATTATGTAAGAGGTATGAATAGAGATTGATAGCCCA